TTTCCTTTTTATAGAAATTTTGCTGAATGCGGGCCGAATAGCTCCATCTGTAGTGCCGATTCAAGCGAAAGTTCCGAATGCCACAATTGCGCAAAACGTCCAACATATTGTCGGGAATATCACTGGATACGCCTACGAACCAGTATCACCACTGGAAGATATGACGCAGTATCTTGCCGATCTACCAAAAGTAGATTTTGTAAATTAGCATGCCTCCATCGCCTTGTATAATCGTGATATTCTCCCATTTTAGTAATTCGGTGATCTTCCCCTCCGCTTCCCACTCTTTTCCCTGTGGATGAACTGAGGAAGAAAGCTACTGAATTGAAAGAGCACTTCAAAATTTAAGTAATACACACTGGGGCGTCAGTTGCCGTAAACGATTCCGAAAACTACGAGGCAGTCAATTTCTTTACAACTTGGCCGATGGATGCCGCGATTATCAAAGCTGTCGGTACTGAAATTCACTATTACTGGAATCCACCTTTGCTCCTCGCTGCTTCCCCTCTTCCTGTTCCACTTCATCGTTTGGATGCTTCTTTGTTGGATCTTCTTCGCCGGAGTTATACGATTTCATTTTGTACCTGCCGTCTCCAGTGTGTACGTGTGCCATCTCCACAGTAGATCTCCGGAATGGTCATTCCCCTTTTTACCGCAGGTCTCGCTGGGACGCAGGATGGGGATATTTTGGTGGTGATGTTTTCCGGCCTGTCGTCGAATATGGCATTTTTATCGGGAGCAAGACAATTTCGATTACAGAATAAAATTCTCCGGCTCTTTTCTCTCTTAATTCCTTGGTTGTTCACAAATATCCTTCAGAAAACAAAATTCACCGGCTGCTTTGTCTACCTTCAGTTTTCCGAAATTTCAGATACCGCCACCAATAAGTCTAGCCGTTACATCGAATGTTATCGGAAATCGTTCCGTGGTTAAAGCGTTTTTCAATATGAAAGCACGATATGGTCCGGCAATTGCCATAGCGCTACTGAGTAATGCAAGGCTGGGACAGTCGCCAGGTGAGCAGCGCGCCAACACTTTTGTTTTTGGAATCTTCGATAGATACCTAAATGGTGGGTCGTAAACTCTCAGATACAGGCCGTTGGCTTGAATATGTCAGGCAGAAAATTAACTGTTCGGCGACTTGTTTCAATATTGCATTGTTACTGGCGCATCTCACAGCCTTTCGGTCCGTCTCCATCAACTTTCAAAAACGTTATTTCTTTCGTCGTCCTTATAATGAATATGAGATACCATTGACCTTCTTCTGGAGAGGATTTAACTTCAGCTTAACTCACGACCCACTGTTAAAGGGGCATTAGTTTGCGCTGCACAAGATGTGCCGGCCAGAACGGAACCGTATGATTTCTCGATGCGCCAGAAACTGTCGACATAAGCGGTCTTGTGCTTTGTCTTTTGCTTCTTGACTACCAGTACCAGAGATAACCAGATGCTTGGGCCATTGTGCTTAAATTAGTGAAAATAATTATTGGCAAGCAAAATGATTATTTAAGATTCCATCCAGCTGTCGTTCTCGCCGTATGGCAATGTAAGCAGTGTAAATCCATTGGCGTCGCTGAAATCACAAATGTTTTTGCTAGCGCCACTGTTGATCATTACCTTCGCATTTATCTCATGCGGTTTTGTTACATATGTTGTCGACGATCGCATTACCAACTTCATGCACCAGGTATACTTGTTTCCAGCTTAGCAGAGGTTTTTCAGCAAAATTTTCAACATCCTAGCAATAAAATTTTCCAAGCTTATAATTGATCGTCCAGACGGGAACAGCTTCTGATGATTTTCGCTGTGGTCATTTGAATCATTAATGGCAAGCTGTCGATGTCTCCGATGAGCAGGCTACTCCATTTTAATTAGCGAATGTCTGCATCCATTCTGTGGCAAGAACCATTGAAATGAGACAGTTTTATTTTTCAAAAAGTGTCACGGAGAAACTGTTTGCAGCAACTGTTGACCGGACTGAATGCATGTACTTATTGGTTGGCAACGGTACTTTCGGATGCTTTACTTTATTTGTTCACTTGTACATTTCTCATGCTTATCATCGTTGCTTATGGCAAATGGCTAACAAGTAACATACTTGAGTAGGTTTTTAATTTTTTTTAAAAGGTTAAACTCCACAGAGTTGGAATTTAATTTGCTGAAAACTAATAGACATTGCGGGGAAGAAAAATTAATTTAGGCTATCTTCGGCGGCACACGTGCATAGTAAAAATTACGAGAAAAATGTCTTGTTTTGCTGATATTGTAAATGGACTTTTTTAACGTAATATGTTTCTTTACAGTTTAATTCTTCTCTGGCTGATGTACTTATGGCCAACTCTGCCTTTCATCTATTGCATGGCTTTTGTGTTTCGGTATGCGACTCGAGCCTATACAGTATTAATTATCATCGCACTTGTTGTATCACTCTGTGCAAATATCATATCATACGTTGCAATGACAGTCAGACCGCAAATCTTTCCATACCTGCATGTAAGATTCACTAATTATATATAGGCTAAGAAGAAGTTACGGAGACCAACGAAGGCAGAAAGGCAAATCTTGATTTATGGTAGAATCAGTGATGATTTTTCTGCATTTCAGCTTACGTTTTCGGCTTTACTTCCGACATACGGAATGTCATATGGTTTGATTTTGATACTAGCGGCAAGCATCGATAAGAACACTATGGATTTGTACAGTTGGCAGGTTTGTTTTTGTCAGCCAGAACCGCCTTAAAGTGCACCGTAAATATCATTAGCATGAGATCGGTGTGCGAATCTCATGCTAATGATATCGTTGGAAGTTTGCACACGATTCTGACAAACATTTTTTTTTACGTTTCGGATACAGGCAAGTAATATTTTCCAGTTTTTATGCGTTTTTTGCAGCAATGCAATGCGAAAAACGCATACTGACGAGAGGTTGTCTGTGTGTGTGTTTGTGTGTGTGTGTGTCTGTGTCTCTGTACCGATTTTTCATCTCGAGACCGGCAAAAGCTACGGGGTTAAAACTTTGGGGCCTTAATCTACATGCACGTACGGGCCACAATCCCCAAAATGGACGGTATTTTCCGCGTGGTACCCACGTAAAGCCCGCCAAAGTTTTTAACGGGTAAGCTGATAACTCGTGAACCAGAAAAGCTAGAGAGCTGAAATTTTATGAGTTTTTTACGGGTAAGCTGCTAACTCGCGAACCAGAAAAGCTAGAGAGCTGAAATTTTAGGGGAATGTTCCCCGTCCAAGTAGGTACTAATGAGCTCGGATCCAGCTCCCGAGTAAGCGTGGTACCCGCGTACGGGCCCCCCAAAATTTTTCCCGCGTAAATTCATAACTCGGGATCCTGAGATGCTAGAAAGCTGAGATTTTAGGGGAATGTTCCCCGTCCAAGCAGGTGCTAATTAGCTCAAATCCAGCTGCCGGGTAAGCGTGGTACCTGCGTACAGCGTGGTACCCCCAAAATTTTTCCCGCGTAAAATCCTAACTCGGGGTTCTGAGAAGCTAGAGAGCTGGAATCTTAGAGGGGTGTTCCCTGTCTAAGTGGGTATTAACGAATTCAAACCCTGCCCGCAGGTAAGCGTGGTACCTACGTATTACAGGCCCGTGAAAAGTCCCTTCCGGGTAAGTTAATTACTCGAGAACCTGAGAAGCTAGAAGACTGGAATTTTGAGGGGATGTTG